CCCTGACCACTTCATTATGAATTAAAGAGAATTAAAGAGAAAGTTGAGTTCTGGGAAGAGGTGGAAAACAATTTGTGAGCGTTATCATTGTTATTGTGCAAGTCTGGAAGAACATCAGAGAAAAAAATGTTCCCTGAAAAGCACCGCTCTTCAAATGCCTTAATATTCTAAATATGGCATGTAACATTATAAAAATTGGGACAGATTTTTATGCCATATGTCCGTGTAGTCCCATATACATGTACATCTTTCTGTGTACAGTAACTTTACCGAGACTGGGCCAAATTTTTTATCATTTTGATGATTCCAGAACCTTACAGTACACACCAATGTCTATCAAGTGCCTGCTTATATCTTTAAAGAGAAGATGGTGTTATCTGACACAGGTAAAAAACAAACAAAAAGTCCTCTAAAATTGAAGACGCAATTAGCAGGCTGCGTTATTGCTGCAGTTGAAATACTAGCTCAATGGATTATCCTGCATCTTCTTGGTAAAGTGAAATAGCCAGCCATTTGGCAGCCAACAGGACTGATAATAAATGCATAAATCTTTGTTCAGTGCCATGTCACAAATTTTGATTCACCTGTTACAAATAATTGTATTTCAATAGTTGAATTGCATAAACTAATTGTTGCTGGTAGGACAAACGCTATGGCTTGTCCTGCCTAACAACACAGAATGTAAGCGATAGCATTCTGACTACTGAAATACAAGTATTCGTAACAGGTGAATGAAATAATTTCTAACACAACAAATATTTAAGCATTACATTTTATTAAATTATGAAAATGGTCTATTGCGAGTTTTCTAATTCTGTAATGACAGCTTCGAGGAACGTCATGGTAAAATGTCCCCTGAGAAGGATTGCTCTACAAGTGGCCTCATATTTTGAGGTATGGCAAGAAATTGCTGAAGTGTTTGGACCAAACAATCGTGCCACAAGTGTGTTGTTCCTTATATCCATTTCTGTGAAGAGTGCATGGCTTTTAGCAAGATTGAGTCTACCTGTATTTCCAATCAATTTGTCAAATCCAAGAACATACAGTATACACCAGGTTTATTACACAATCAACCTTTCCCAAATGCTTCGGGACAGATGAAGTTCTCTCTCAAATGTCTCAATGTTTTTCTTGATAAGAGCTCAACTTTATCTTTCAAACACATAGCAAATAATACACAGTATTACACAGAGTAACTGCTCCACTCTCTTGAATACTATGTATTTGTCACTTTCTTGAGAGTGGTATACATGTACATGTACACAAACTAAGTGACTATTAAGTGCATTCTCAAGTCAAAATTGAATTAAATGTTAAATATTTGTATATACATAACATTGCATGTCTATTCACTCCGTTGCATACACACAATGTGCATGAGCCTCGGGCCAGAGCCGCCAGACACAGCTTTGCATTATTCATGCGGAAATATCGCAAAAACAAACATCTGGATTTCTTTCACTGCCTTCGATCATCATATCAGAGATCACAGATCAGTCTCATAACTGAACATTCATGATGCTTTTTAGTGATAAGCTACTAAGAAAAGCATCAGACCATTCCCATTGCAATACATGGGGTGTTATAATGAGACGATGTGTTTGTACAAGAGTGACTAAAGTCCTCTACTTGGCAAAGAGGTTTTGTTTACATAACTGTATGATCGTTGAAGCACATGATGACATGACTAACTCAGTAAACAAAGAAGAAAAATTACAACAGACGAAGAGAAAAGCTTAGATTCAGATATCTGATTATCCATATAAAGTCAAATAATACACAGACATTATGAAGATGATGGATTGATGATATTCAGTCATGTAGGCTATACATGTACATTTTAAGTCAAGACTTTACAAGTGACAACCTTTCTATACAGGCCACCTGTCTATACTGGCTATCTATCTTATTATTTTATTTTTATTTGTCGTTTTATTTTGACAGGGTAGCCCTTTCAGTTATAAAAACTGCTCGACCAAGGGGCCCTGTATTAACATAATCAAAAACATTTTTACAAAACATATAAACATACATAAGTTATAATGAACACAAAAATTAAACAAGATAAAATACTGAAATAAATGGGGAGGAGGGGGGGTAAAATATTCATGTAAGTACTATTTTAAACTATGTGAGAGAAAGGAGTTTGCAGTATTTTTTAAATGAATCGAGTGAGTTTAATAAACGTAAAGAAGGGGGTAATGCATTCCATATAATGGAGCCTTGATAACAGAAAGATCTTTTAAAATACTCGGTTTTGTGTTTTGTAATGAATAGAGGACAGGTAGTTGCATATCTGGTATCACACAAAGAAGAAATTCATGCAGTGGTCACCTACATGTAGACATGTACGTCAATGCATATAATAGAAGAAAAAAAATATGTTGTAGAACCTGTCTAGAAAGCCCACCACCTATCTACAGCAGCCACTTTTTCTTATCCCCTATGGCTTCAGTAGACAGGTTTAATGTCTGTACAGAATACCAGAATAGGTGTATTTTATTTCCAGATATGTAATTTTTGACATGTGTTAAAATCTAAATGCAGTGATGAGCAAATTTATTTTTAAAGACCACTTGCCTACAGTGCCAATTGTCTGTTTTTCCTTAGGTGGCCTTAATACTGTGTGAGTCAAAAAAAAGTTTACACCTAGAATAATGCTAATTATTTTAAAAATCATCTATGAACAGTAAATTATTATACATCTTATGAAAGAGTGTTTTATCCCAAATCAATTGGTATCATTGTTGTGTTGATTGTTTTATTCAAATATCACATACAGGTGTAAGCAGCTTTGGCGCAAGTTGATTTTTACACTCTCGCAAACAATGCCTCCTGTTCATCCAAGCGTGAACACTTAACACACAAAATGATATTAAATGATTTGGGATAAAAAAAACTCTTTGATAAGATGTATAATAGTTTACTGTTCATACATGTACATGATTTTTTTAATAATTAGCAATTTTCTAGGAGTAAACTTTTTTTTGACTCACACTGTAGACAGGTATAATTGTAGACTTTATTTTTAGATATTATGTGGTAAATTAATGAGGAAATGCACAAAAACCGACAATATCCTGATTATGTGGTTATTTGAGTCACAATAGAATGATGTATTGCTTGTCATGTTGATACCGGTACCATAATTCTTTTGAAATCTGAGAATCATGCAAATCATCTGTACATTGCAAAATTCATTCTAAAAAATGATTACCGGTAATTTCTGTGCATGTCCTGTTTATTATGATTAATTGGTAACATTATTTCCATAGTTTATTAATAATGGAATTCTGGGGTGGTTTTACTTTTATGAAAAATTGGTTTATCATTTAATGCGAGGCTTTCTAATTGTTATAACTTTAATGATTTGCAGGAAAATAAACTTTTATTGATACTTGTGAGAAACAATATCTGCATATCATCTATTCAGAACAAGAGGGGCATTAAGTCTGTGTAACAGTGTATGAGTTAACATCCTTCTGGCTCCAAACATATCCTATTTGCAAATGTTATTCTCACATTACCTGACCAATTTTTTTAATTATTCGCATTTGTAATTAAAATCAATGGACCTCTAACTAAAGGGAAAATAAATACTATTGAAAGGTCCCTGCAGTGTTCATGTCCAAGTCCAAATTTTTTTATCTCAAAAGTTCCTGATTACATGTGCATGATTATGACTGTGTAAATTTGATAGCGTTAATGTACAGCTTGTGAAAAAGGAAGTAGCAAGAATAATCATTCATACTTCCAAATTTCATGCTAATGACCAATGTATCATTATTAGCAAACAATTTTACAAAGTAATTCATAATCAACACATTGATATTGATGGCTTACATGTATGCTCATACTACATGTTTATGTATAGTTTCTGACAAGAGATTTGATAGATGGTTAAAGCTGCTGTTTAATCTCAGAGTCAGAAACTAATAATGCTTATTATCTTTTTTAAATTAAATTTCCTGAAATTTCAAAATTTAGCCTTTCATTTCATAAATATAAAATCAAGTTGATTGGAACCCCCTCACCCTTCAAAAAGGGATTTATATTGAGTCGGATGACACTATTTAACAAGAAATCAACAGCGATTCTAGCGATTATCCTGGTATGACCGACTGGCATTCATAAGCCTAATTTACTGTTACTTTAGACAGCCAATCAGCGCTCGTATATTCGCGTCTTGTTCCTTTTAGTTTCTGTTTATATTGATCCATTTCGGCTTTCTGTTTCATTCTTGCGTTTTACTCTGATGAGTGCTAGTCGAAAAGCTTTAGTTATGGCTCTTTTTAACGGGATTCTCTGATTTTGTAGTACCAATCATCTTTTCAGAAATCAACACATTAACTTCGTCATATACTGAAGAAGAAGAAGAAGTCATATTTTCAAACAGTCATATAGTGATACAAATGAATATGAAAGAGTAACATTGTATAAAATATGACAAGACTGCAAATCACAATAATAACAATGAATGCAAGATAACTGAATCTGAATCTGTTCTGATCCTAGTCCTGACGTACTCAAAAGGGATGTTGACCAACAAGAACGTTATCATTCAAGAGAGTGTTTATTGCATTGATTTAGTACACTTTGCAGTCGCAGGGACTAGGGAGGGACTATGCTTAATTATTATCCCTTTAAAGGCTTTAACAAAATAACAAAATTACAATGAACATGTTGAATGAATACATTCCATTCATCTCTCTTGTCCACTCTAAACCAAACTTGGCTCACTCTCACTCCTAACCATGCACAGAACTGGCCAACATGAAACTGGTCATAAATTATCATGAAGAAATGAGCTTTCGCCATGGCCATGCCATGTAGTATTATGAAGAATTGTTGGAAAGACGAATCTAGCGAGATAGGGGATACTGACAACGCACACACCCAGCGTGAGCCCGCGGATGACCCACCCACTACCCGTACCAAACCCGTCAGAAAAAACAACAAACGTAATACTGATTTCCCACAAAATATCGCATATAATTTACCTGATTAACGATGAATTCCTCAAAATTACTCTTCTCGGAACAGCTTCACACGTCTGGTAGTGATTTAATCTAGGAAACCGCATTGAACATCAATTTAGCGTCAAGGTGTTTCTCCAAGCAGTGTTGAATTGTCCACTTGAACACATACATTGCGTGTGTGTAAAATCAATGGCCAGCGCCAGCCCATTCAATCGATTGATGTATGCAGAAAGATAATACAGTTACAAGCTGTTTAATTTTCAGAGGTTTTTTTAGCTTTTAGTTTTACATAAAATCAAATCAAATAATTTTCTTTATAGTAAACAACATTTTTTTTTATAATTCTTTTGCGCGATATCTGGAATCATCGTGATTATTCCAAGAAAATTACAAATATGGAAAGTCTGATAAATTATATAATTTCCGAGATGCGAGACTAGTTTAAGAAAGTCTCGAGATGATGAAAATATGATTCTGGGGTTTCGGGAAGGGGTGGGTTATAATGTCGTGAAGATTTTTTTTGGGGTGTTGTTTGTTATTTACTCATTCATTTTTTTTCTTCAGAAGTGGTGCTCCCGGAGGGGGGAGGGCTGGAGTGGGGTACAATGGCCAACACTTTGTCAGTACCCCCAGAGTGTCATTTTTAACGTAGGAATAGTGCCCCTTTTGACTTCAGATGAGTTGCCCATTTTTCTTTTTAAATAAGTGCCCTTTCCCCTTATCACAAGTGCCCCTATTCTAAGCTGATGTGTGCCTTTTACTTTCATTATTGTCCATTTCACTTTGTCATAAATACTTTAATTTAAAAAGTGCCGCAGTCTTTTAAATAAATTCCATTTTCCTTCTGAAAAGCGCCCCTTTTCTTTTTGTAATATGTGCTCCTTCCCTCTTTTTTCTTTTTGATGAATGCCCCTTTTTTTACCTTTGATAAATGTCCCTATCCGAATCTGATAGGTGCCCAATTTTAGTTTGACCAGTGCCCTTTGCCCTTTGTAATTAGTGCATTTTCATTCTAAGACGTGTCCCTTTCATCTCTGATGAGTGCCCCTTTTACTTTTGACAGATGCCCTTTTACTTTTTAGTAAGTGCATTTTTCATTTCCCCATCTGATAAGTGCTCGTATTAACTTAATGATAAGTGCCCCAACCCTTCTTATAAATGGCCCTTTTCACTTTTGAAAAGTGCCATATTCAAGTGCCCCTTGATAGTTTGGATGTAATTACGCTTTGATAAATGCCCTTTTACCTATATTTCTAACTATAACATTAATTCTTTTCCTGCCACTATGATGGAAGGCAGTGAACCAAAAATTTCATAAGAACGAACTTTGCCCCTATAATGAATATAATCGTTTTTTCCCTTCTCTCTTAAAAAAATTGGAGTTCATCCCAGAAAATGTATTAATGACATTTTAGGGTATATAAAGACGAAACAATTTCAAACAATTGTAATTATTCGTTTTGGGACCACCCTTTGAACATGCCACTTTTTCCAAGAAAGTGCCCTTTTATTTTAACCTCCCCCTCCTCCCTAATTGAAAGATACTCCTCCGCCCCTGAAAAAAAAATGATTTGAAACCCCTTTTCATCTCACAAAAAGTATACTGTTTAATGTTCTTGTTTTAGCTGATCGATACGAATCGAACGTATTACAAGAAGTATACAAAGGAGGGCAGTATTAATTTTTTCATCACATCAATTTGTATTCAATACTTTTTCAGTTCAAATGCTCATACGAGAAAGGCAGACGTTTCGTAGATCAGAAATATGCAAAAGAACAGAAAGAGAGAGAGAGAGAGAGAGAGAGAGAAGGAAGAGAAAAGGGGCGATGAGAGTCAATGAGAGAGAGAGAGAGGGGGAGGGGTGGAAAGAGGGTGGGGTAGTGAGACCCTGAGAGAGAGAGAGAGAGCCAGAAAAAGACTAGCGAAGAGAATTATATGCAACCCATGAATCAAATAGTCAGGTATGATGAGTAACTCGATCAACATAATAGCTATTGAATCAAATATTTTGGCGGGAAAGCCCGATATTTAAAAAAGAAAATCCAATTCGGCCTGTTTATACCATAATTATTGTTATTGTTGATGTAAAGCCTCGGTCACAAATGCAATTACGAACTGCTACGAACGCCGTATATACGAACGATTTTCAGACAATGGAAATTCAGAAAGACAATGGAAAAACAGGGAGATTCGTACGAAATTATCGTTAGTACGAACCTTTGTGGCGTAGCATGACCAAAGGTCCAAAGCACAATATCTCAATGTATTTCTCAAACAAATATAATAAAGGCCTATATGGCGGGAGGGGGTGCAGAGTGGTAAAACAAAATTATCACAGAGTCTTTGTGGAGGTCATACCTCAGTCACAAGGGCCTACTTTTTATGTTACAGTGTATAAGATGGCCCCGACAGCTAAGCTAGTAGTGGCACGGTGTAATATTAATGTTTAATATATATAGATAAAGCAGAATTCCTGTCCTTCGTGTACTTCGTATAATACTTTACTTTGTTTACAAGTTAATTGCACGCTCATTGTATCGATCAATTAAAAGAATTGCAATAAATATGGACTTTGAGTGAGATAAAAAATTAGTTTTACATCAGTTTTTCGTTTTCAAAGAGTTTTTTTTTTTAAAGCACTAGCTGGGTATCGAACCCGATACCTTCCAGTTACCAGGCGATTACCTATCCACTAGACTTATGTGTCACACTGCTAATCTCCATGTATTTTTTCATATTGATACTGTCTTATTGTTGTAGATGTGGCAAAAGCTTTTTAAAGAAAGAGTATCACATATTATTTTCTCCTTTGTTGAGGAGCTGGTGGTGTCCAATTTAAAAAAAAAAGATGGACAAGTCAAAACATGTATTATGGGGTGAAGAAAAAATAATTCAAAAACATGGGGTATAAAGGAAAAGCTGGGAGTCGAACCGCTGCAAACTGCTGACTTAAACTTAAAGTGAAATGGCAATAGGCCACTGCCCTGACATAGCATAATGAATAGAACACGGGTCTATTCAATTCAGTATATGCTACGAATTCTATAACAGGGCACCAATGAATAGGGAAGCTTGGCTATTCGATTCTGTTTTCAATAGCTTGCACATGCAATTTTTGAATAGTTACGTAACAAACTACTTAGCTCTTTCTGACATGGCATCAATTAAATAATTGAAAAAACCCGACCCCCCCCCCCCCCTTCATCGAGCGTATATGTTTTTATCAATTGCGAGTATTACCAAAGAGGCAATAATAGCATTCCTGACATTGCAATAATGGCCGCCTTATGTTGATGTATATATATTGTCCCTAAAGGTACTGAAGAGGCTCTTTCTCCTTGTTATGGAGGAAAAGCTTTCAATAACCCCATATAGGAAAAGAATATGTTGTTGTTGTTGTTTTAGTTTTAAGGGCGTGTGTCATTCAATTATGAATATTTACGCTGCTCGGCAGTCTTGGCTGTATTTGAAACAGAGCATCCAATATACCTGATATCTAATACTGTCAATTAAAACAAATAACTAAATAAACAAACAAATATAGACCTCTTGACCCAAGACTGTGGGTTTTTATTGTTGAGCACTATTTAATTTTGCTCGGGTATACAGGCGAGGTGGGGTGAATGCTTTCAAATGTAAAAGGCCCTTTGTCTCACCTCGTGCAAGATTAGGGCGCTTTTATTAAATTTGTAGGAGAAGTAAAACCCTGTTCATCATTGTTTTCATGTTGCTTTACGTGTTGTTTACAGACTGGAAAAGGATAGAACGGGACAGTAGAGAGTGAATAAAACGAGAAAATTATTAAAAAAAATATTTTTTTTAAACGTTGTAAACCTGGCAATAGGAGGCTCTTGAATCCAGCTTTAAAAATGGACATGGCTTTGTGGCTTAGGGTGCGTTTAATCGACACCTTTTCACCCTAGAATCACGGTTTCTAAAGACGTTTAGTTTAAAACGCAATGCGTTCAAGCGATTTTTTCGTCGGTCGTAAAAATAAACGTGTTTGAAAACACAAACATGAAACGCTGAAAAAGATGCGTTTTGTATCATGATTCAAAAGAATCGCGGTCGCTAAAATTCGATTGAACGGACGGAGTTCTCAATCATGATTGTATGACGAAGCCTCTTCCGGTTTGGGAAAAACCGCGCGCCCGCTTTGCATGCAATTTGCGTTCACTATACCATCGTGGCCTGTTCCGTTATGTTATTCATTGTTTTTCCTTCTATCATTTTCTCTTTCTGTCTTTCCTTATGTTATTCTTTGTTTCTTCCTTCTATTCTTATGTTATTCTTTGTTTTTTTCCTTCTATCACCTTTTCTTATGTTATTCTTTGTTTTTATCATTCTATCATTTGCTCTTTCTGTCTTTCCTTATGTTATTCTTTGTTTCTTCCTTCTATACTTATGTTATTCTTTGTTTTTTCCTTCTATCACCTTTTCTTATGTAATTCTTTGTTTTTATCATTCTATCATTTGCTCTTTCTGTCTTTCCTTATGTTATTCTTTGTTTCTTCCTTCTATACTTATGTTATTCTTTGTTTTTTCCTTCTATCACCTTTGCTTATGTAATTCTTTGTTTTTATCATTCTATCATTTTCTCTTTCTATCTTTCCTTATGTTATTCTTTGTTTCTTCCTTCTATTCTTATGTTATTCTTTGTTTTTTTCCCTTCTATCACCTTTTCTTATGTTATTCTTTGTTTTTATCATTCTATCATTTGTTCTTTCTGTCTTTCCTTATGTTATTCTTTGTTTCTTCTATACTTATGTTATTCTTTGTTTTTTCCTTCTATCACCTTTTCTTATGTAATTCTTTGTTTTAAGCATTCTATCATTTGCTCTTTCTGTCTTTCCTTATGTTATTCTTTGTTTCTTCCTTCTATACTTATGTTATTCTTTGTTTTTTCCTTCTATCACCTTTTCTTATGTAATTCTTTGTTTTTATCATTCTATCATTTGCTCTTTCTGTCTTTCCTTATGTTATTCTTTGTTTCTTCCTTCTATACTTATGTAATTCTTTGTTTTTATCATTCTATCATTTTCTCTTTCTGTCTTTCCTTATGTTATTCTTTGTTTCTTCCTTCTATACTTATGTTATTCTTTGTTTTTTCCTTCTATCACCTTTTCTTATGTAATTCTTTGTTTTTATCATTCTATCATT